TCAGCGGGGGTTGCAGTTGACCCAGTTCACAAGTCCTCAAATAAAGCGCGCGCATTCATAATAAAACGTGCCTCACACGGCTCCGGGGGGTGAATAAAGGCCTTCTGTAGTGAATCCATGCGTTTTTGTAAGAAAAATATCCATATTTCAAATGTAATAAACACTTTTATATCACTTCCGCCAACTGTCATACGCGGAAGCCATTATGGCGGATGACCTAGCACGTCGGTGTTGCATGATTAGTGACGAACGCGGAGAGACAACAAAACAAAATGCCGGTCACGAATTAGAAGTACAAACTTCTTTTTGTTTGAAACCCAGATGTTCGATTTGCAAAGAAAAATGTCGGAGGATTTTGATATAAGCCAAGAGGAGACTGGTTTTCCTTTGCTAAAGTAAGGAAACTTTGCTTCCTTTGCTCCTATAAACAAACTCGTGAGACTAGCATATATCAGAGGCGCGCGCGCTGCACATACGCCTTCCGTCTATGCTTCCGCGTATGACAGATAACGGAAGTGAGAGAAAAGTGTTTATTACGTTTGAAATATGGATATTTTTCTTACAAAAACGCATGGATTCACTACAGAAGGCCTTTATTCACCCCCCGGAGCCGTGTGAGGCACGTTTTATTATGAATGCGCGTGCTTTATTTGACGACTTGTGGGCTGGGTCAACTGCAACACCCGCTGACTGCAATGATAGAGCTTGGAATAGCCAGGACAATTATTAATATAACTCCAACTGGATTCGTCTGAAAGAAGAAAGTCATATACACCTAGGATGCTTCGAGGGTGAGTAAAACACAAGCCAATTTTCATTTTTGGGTGAACTAACCCTTTAATTTATTTTGCCATGTTTTTCTAATGATGTGTAATCTTACGTTGTGCAAAGAAAAACATTTAGAGCTCTTAGACCCAAACTATATGCATAATATAAAAACTTTAAACACAAAGGGACAAGCATCAACCGTCATTTTGTGTCCTGCAATGAGAGAAAACTCCATCTGAATAAGACTAAGTTCAAGAGACAAATGTAGAGTGCTACACATACAGAAAAAACTCTTCCAGTGCCAAATTATATTTTTTTCCCGTAAATACATTGTTATTGAAACTGAATCGAGAAACTGAATTGTGCACAACGGAAACAAAAATGATTAAAACCATATTAGATGCTGGATCATGTATTAAACAGATCAACTCCCCCAAGAGGTGAATCATTGAAACGTCTAAAAGTTTCGAACCAATGCATGACATAGTGAAGCCTCGTTTGCTGAAATCACGTGACTTGTCTTGGACAGTTTGATTCGCACTCCGAACCACTGATTCAAAATAAAGATTTGGATCACCTTTCTCAGTATTTTGTCATTGCTTATTTTAAATATTTAATTGCTTATTTTAAATTTATAATATGAATTTTGGTTGCATAATATTTGTTAGTGGATAGAGTGGACAAAAATTACTTATTGAGCGTTCTGTGAAAGAAACGGGGTCCAACATTTCCTAGTGATAAAGATGGAGCAGCATGAAAACAATCAAACCACAGAGACTCCAGATGTGCAGACGAAAACCTGCCAGTCCTCACCTGGTGAAGAGCAGGATTATAAAAGACAGTGTAAGATGGTTAGTTGTCACTTACAAAGAATCAAATAAGTTAAAAGAATATGGTAATTGTTGGTCGTGACTAATGAAAATTTGTCTAAAATCTGATACATGTAAGTGGTTACTAAATGTCCGCAATAATTGGGAATTTGTCAGACCAAATATATTTTAAAATTAGTTTGATTAAAGTGATTTCAGTCAGCGAATCACAGAAAGTGTTGGATCTTTTTTACACCTGTGTATTACAGTTTTTCTCAGTCGCTTTGGTGCATTTCTCACATCACAATTCTGTGTTTTTCTGTCAATATGGGGTGCTGTGTGTACATTAATGAAGAAAAAAAATTAACTTAAATGATTTTAGCAAATGGCTGCAATATAACAAAGAGTGAAAAATTTAAGGGGGTCTGAATACTTTCCGTACCCACTGTATATATATATAGAAAAGCATATAAAGCAAAGTGAATTTAGGCTACACAATACTAGATTTGTATAAACGTTGTTAAATAACATGAGAATAACGGATTTAAAATTGAAAACAATGACCTCTGTTGCATTCAGGGTTGCAAATCTATAACTTTCTTACATTTACTGTCCTTGAATTGATTTTTTTATATATTTTTTTTATTATTGTTTTAGATCTGGGGGAACTAAAAGAAGGTTCTTTCATTTGCCATCAGTGTAGCATGTGTTTTGTTCAACAATCAAGTCTTCAAAAGCATATGAGAATTCACACTGGAGAAAAGCCGTTCACCTGCCCTCAATGTGAAAAGAGTTTCACGCAACAAAGCCAACTTAAATGTCACATAAGAAGTCACACTGGAGAGAAGCCGTTCAACTGCCCTCAATGTGAAAAGAGTTTGACTGTAAAACAACACCTTAAGAATCACATTCGAACTCACACTGGAGAGAAACCTTTCAACTGCCCTCAGTGTGAAAAGAGTTTCACAGTGAACTGGAACCTTGAGAGTCACATGAGAATTCACACTGGAGAGAAACTTTTCAGGTGCCTTAAGTGTGGAAAGAGATTTGCAAAACAAGGACAACTTAAATGTCACATGAGAAGTCACACTGAGAGAAGCCGTTTAACTGTCCTCAGTGTGAAAAGAGTTTCACAGTGAAACGAAACCTTGAGGGTCACATGAGAATTCACACTGGAGAGAAACCTTTCAGCTGCCTTAAGTGTGGAAAGAGTTTCACACAACAGGGACAACTTAAATGTCACATAAGAAGTCACACTGGAGAAAAGCCTTTCACCTGCTCTCATGTGGAAAGAAATTCACACTGAAACGAAACCTTGACATTCACATGAAAATTCACACTTAAGAGAAGACTTCTACCTGCTTTGAGTGGGAAAAGAGTTTCACAGTGAAACATAAGCATAATATTCTCATGAGAATAGTCAAGTCAGGTGATTAGCATTGCATATTTATATTTATTTATGTATTCAATATCCATTTCATGTATTCCTGTACGTTTCATTTATACTGATTCTTGGCATGTTTTTCTAATGCTATATAATGCTGTGTTGTACAAAGAATAACATTTTAGGTTCATTAATCTGTGCAAGGCAGAACCGTAACTGATGGAAAGAATAACTGTTGTCTTTCCCCGTGTCAGCCTCGTTGCTACAGAAGAATTAACTTGACAATATGTGACCCTGTCTGTGAAATTCAGGCTAAAGTCTCATAATCTAATTATGATATAACAAGCACCAAAGTTTGATTTCAACCATTAATTTAACTGATTTCAATCTTTGACATGGCCTTACCCAGTCAATATTAAAGATATAAAGGTTATATTTTCACAAAAAGTTTTACATCTTAACAGCAAATCACAAAAAAATGACTTAAGCTGGGTTTTCACAGGCAGGGTCACATATGTTTGAATACCTTTGAATATCAGACAATAATCTTGAAGGAGAGAAGCTGGCGGGAGGCAACGACAACTCCTAAAATGTCTGGTGTGAGAAAATCCTGTAATTTTTCTCACTGAGCTTCTGCAAAACAGAAAGTCAGTGTAATTGTTCATCATTTTCATTCAAATAATTAAATAATTGAGTCAGACTGTGCCTTTGCATTGTTTCACAGTGTCTTCAACAAAATTCCTGTAACCACATTCGTTAAATTTATTCAAAATATGCACATAATGCCTAATATGCTGAAAACAGCTCCATTAATGTTTCTTTTTTCGTCCCATTAAGTTACTAAAAAAACGTAATTTTGATAATGTCATATTGGTTCAATAAAACACTTACAAATAATTATCCCAAAACAGAAAGATGGATTGTGGTATAGGCTGTTTCACCGAACAATTGAGCTCAATATACTTTATCTAAGTAGAAAAAGTCCTACATTCAAATAACTGTAGCCTACCTGCGCAACATGCGTCTGAGGAAAACCGTTGGGCTTGTGAATTCAAATGCGGATGCGCGGGAGATCAAGCGGAGCCGATTTCAGCCAAATACGAAACACATCAGTCCCAAGAGAAGACATATTCCTCATTATAGGCTTATTCATCAAGATTCAAGATGTTATGGTGAGTATTGAGCACTGTAAATCACTGAAATCATTTTCTAAAGATTTTGTCAGTAACACTTTAAGCAGTTTAAAGCTGGATATATTTAGGCTATACGTGTCATGAAATAATAAATCAAAATCTATACCGATTGACATATAATTAAGTAACTTCTGTTCTGTGACTTGCCTATTTAATGCGGGGAAACTTTGTCATTAATGTTAGTTTTGCCGTGAACCGCTTTTGAACATTTTATTTAATAAATTATTCAGAATTGATGTAGAAAACCTCTTGAATGTGTTTTTCTTAATTCGAATAAGGTACCGCCGCCAAATATTATGTGATTTGTTAATAAAGATAGGTGAGAAAATGTCAACTTTGTTTTCTGTGTTCTGTATTTTGTTTAATGTATTTCTGTTTTTAGTACATTATTTTTTTTTTCTTTTGGGACAATTGAAAATAAACAATTGCTACTACAAGTTGATATATTTAATTACTCCAACTACACTCATTTTTTTCCATTGGCTCTAACTTACATATTTCTGATTGAGCTAATGTTAATAAATAATTAATAGTTAATGTTAACTGATCAAATTCATTTTACAGAAATTCAGTTAGTCCAATTTAAATATTATATAATATTATTAATTGATATATAATCTATGGAAAATATATAGAAATATTTATTGATTGATTTATTGTCTTTGTAAATTACAAAGCCTAACCTAACATTAAATTAAACAACACTGAATTCACTGCCCCCTATTGGAAATACATCGAAATGTCCAATTTATGACGTACCGAAGCCGCGATTGCTGAAATCACGTGACCTGGCTAGTTTGACGCGTGCTCTGAACCACTGATTCAAAACAAAAGAATCGTTGACGTTTCGGATCTTCATGAACCAGTGTTTTGAAAGCGCCCATCGCTGCATTAATACTGCTTATATTTTAAACCAAATCAGTTTCGATTGTAGAATGTCTTTTAGAGAATAGAACGAATTAAAACCGACTAACGGGTAGCCTATTCTGCGAAATAAACTTGATCGATAAGATGGAGCAGCATGAAAGCAACCGGACCACAAAAGCACCAGATGTGAAGACAAAAACCTGCCAGTCGTCACCTAGACAAGAGCAGAAGAATGAAAGACAGTGTAAGTTGATTATTTGCCAGTAACACAAAATCCAATTAGTTAAATTAATCTGTTATTTGTTGATCGTGACCAATAAACCACGTGTGTCAAATGATTTATAAGCCTAGAATGGGGTGTATTCCAGATGTTACAATGACCGCAATACTTGCGGATTTGTTAGAGCAATTTATTGTTTTTTTTTTTTATTATTATCTCAAATCAGATTGAAGCCAAGTGTATTTAAAGTGTGATTTTTTTAGATGCTTGAATAAATGATCATTCATTCCTTTTAATAAAATTAAAAAGACATAACTGCACTCTCCAAGCAAAAGTACATTTCTTTATTGACTGCCTCCCAACACATTTTGCAAAGCTGCAAATTGTTCTTTATAATAGAAAATGGGAATTGGCGGTGGGGGTTATAGAATAAAAATAACAATTTTAACAATATTTCACATGACTGCAAAATCAAATTATAAAGCAGTGATTAATTTAATAACTATAACACTATAATCTAGCTGTAAACACAATGAATTTGTGATTATGAAAAGTTACTTCACATATTTTTAAGAAAAACATTCCATGTTGAATGTTAAACATGGATATTTAAAGTTACTGAGCAGTTACACCTGCTTCCGTTAATTTTTTTATCACAGGAATGCACAAAACAACTCCATTATGGCTTTTAAGTCCTAAGGCTTATCTATCTATCTATCTGTCTATCTATCTGTCTATCTGTCTATCTATCTATCTGTCTATCTATCTGTCTGTCTGTCTGTCTATCTTTAGATAAAAAAAAAACTCTGTTTGTTACATGTATTAAAAAAGAATACCCGTTTTGGCAAGTATTCTAGTAAACACAGTCGATTATGTCTTAAATGAATGTAAACAGCTGAGTGTGTCAGTATTAGGTCAGTGCATTTGGTCTTAAAGAGACAGCAGCCAATAAATACCTGTTTCTGTCTGCTAATCAAATAACACCACAGCTAACAAAAATTAATCTGTATTTAACTTGTGCTGTGAGCACTATTGTGTTATTTTACACTTAATTATTACATTTCTGCACCTGAATGCTACTGTTACTGACTTTATTTGTAACTAGGGATGGGTATCGTTTACATTTTATCTATACCGATACCGGTACTTTTCGATACTGTTATCGATACTATTTGGTGCAAATTGCAAAAAGTTGTTGAAAATTTCAAGTTATTTTATTACTGCTGAACTTTAGCAGCTGTATTAAAGTTCTTCAGTCAAGAGCAGCGAGTTATTTTTCTCTGTGTTTTATTTTATTAACATTAAAGGAATAGTTCACCCAAAAATGAAAATTGTGTCATCATTTACTCACTCTCAAGTTGTTTTAAACCTGAATGAGTTTTTTTCTTCTGTTTAACATGAAAAGTTCTTTTGAAGAATGTGGCAAACTAAACAGTTGCTGGTCCCCAGTGACTTTCATATTTTTTTCCTACTATTAAATTCAGTGGGGACCAGCAACTGTTTGTTTACCCACATTCTTCAAAATATCTTCTTTTGTGTTCAGCACAAGAATAAATAAAAAATTATTACATGTTTGGTACAACATGACTGAGTAAATAATGACAGAATTTAAATTTTTGGGTGAACTATCCCATTAATGATAAGCGGCAGCATGTTTAGTACTGCTACTTTAAGAGCTTTCTCTCAACTGTCTACTTTCACTTTAGACATAATTAACTGTGTTTATATGTAAGCCTTGTGTGGTTTTGACAGTATTAGCGCAATCAGACGATAACTAAGTAATCAGGTGCTGTATGACGGCCCGTATGGACGCTTCGGGTGCACGCGCTCTGAATAAGCACATGTTAGAACAGCACGCAAATGAAAAGTTTAACCGGCAAGGCTTTAAAGCACGCGGAAATAATGTACTTTTGTGATTGCGAATAAGTGCAGTGTCTTATGAGTGTAACTCTACCGAATCAACGTGATGTGAATGTGTCTCGTGAGTTGCAGTTGGAGCTGGAGCCGGGAGACATAGCCTAATACAGCGCATTGCTTGAGGCAGATGTTGTATTTTGTTAGTAAATGTTTCATTATATTACTAATGTTGCCTCCTTTGTTCACTATTACACTACTGCAGGGGCGTAGGCAGCGGACGGGCCTGACGGGCACAGGCCCACCCACTCTGATGAAAGGCCCCCCAGTTTATTATACACATATAGCCTAATATTTGTTAAATAATTATTGTTTAATCTATTTTAACACAATTATAGAACTATTATAACATCTCAAATAACTAAAATAAATAAAATGTGTTTTGCATAATTCTTGATTAATTTGATTGACAGCAGTGTTAGCCAATTGTTATCCAGGCTGTTCTGGGCATGTCGCGCATGTAAATTCGTGTGTGTTCACCCATTCAGTTGGACTGTAATTTGCAGCTGTGTTAGAAAATAACAGCAGCAATGCATAATTCTGTAAAAAAATACTTTTAAAACCTTGCACTGACGAGTGCCAAGTAATGGTAAGACTTTCAGTTCCACATGCGAAGTGGTTCATTCTGTGAAGCCGGGAAACACTACTGTCAGGCCGATTATGAATGTCATAAAAGAAGGAGTGACAACAGTGTTGGACGAGAGAGGACCAGGCCTGGAGTTTATTTTGTGTTTTGGTTCTGTTTTGTGTTTATTTTATTGTTAAAGTTTTGTTGAAGTGTTCGCCGGGTCCCGCCTCCTTCTTCCCGTGACTACGAACTGTGTTACAACACTACTGTCAGGCCGATTATGAATGTCATTTGAGCTCAGTCAGTGTTTTCAGACGGTGTTCAGAGTCGTTTGGTATGCGGTGTCTGAAGAATTTAAGACCAGCTGTTGCCAGTCGAGGCTAACAAAGATTAGCCTATTTTTTTATTATTTTTTTATTTATTTATTATATAATTTTTGTGACTGACGCCGGCGATTAACTGCACCTGTTTCCTAATTTGTAGGCCTATTAATTTAAATAACGAATTAACAAATAAAAAAAAATCGCAAACATGACATTTCTGAATAAAATAATTTGATACACATTAGTTATATCTAATTTGGCATTTTCAATTAACATAGGCCTGTTACATTATTTTTATTAGCCTATTAGGCCTATTATTATTATTAAGTTACTTTTATTATTAAATTAATATTAGGCTACAATTAATTTGCCCCGCAATAATTTCATAGCGCATCACCGCATAACTGACGCGCTGCAAGGATAATAAAGATTAAGCATGGCGGAGCAGTCTGCCGCCATGGAGGCTCGAGGCGGTGGGCTGGAGTGAGTTGCCAGGGAGGGCGGACGAACTCGCTGCCGCCTGGGATGTGGAGGGACGGCGACTACCATTATCAGCATATGAAGTAGATTCGTCTCTCGTCGTCTTTGAGAGAATATGCGCCGTTAATGCAGCGTCAGCCCCCCCAACCCACCCACCCTTGAGTTCGCGGTTGGGGGCCGCGGATTTGCTCTAAGCCACTGGACTCCATCCGTTAGTTAGCCTAGTGCCTGCTCACTTTTGCCCAGGCCCGCCCAAAAATAAAATTCTGACTACGCCACTGCACTACTGCATATATTGCATCTGACACTGGTGTCACCTAGTTTTGTCTAATCTGTAGGCCTATTATTTTAAATAACGAATTAACAAATTTAAAAAAGATCACAAACATGACATTTCTGAATAAAATAATTTTATACACTTTAGTTATATCTAATTTGGCATTTTTAATTAACATAGGCCTGTTACATTTTTCTTATTAGCCTATTAGGCCTATTATTAGTATTAAGTTACTTTTATTATTGAATTAATATTAGGCTACAATTAATTTGCCCCGCAATAATTTCATAGCGCATCACCGCATAACTGACGCGCTGCAAGGATAATAAAGATTAAGCATGGCGGAGCAGTCTGCCGCCATGGAGGCTCGAGGCGGTGGGCTGGAGTGAGTTGCCAGGGAGGGCGGACGAACTCGCTGCCGCCTGGGATGTGGAGGGACGGCTGCCGTCCGTAAGGGAGCGGAGGAGTCGCCGCCGTTCGCTTGAGGCCGGAGCCTGCTGCCATCCGCCATGATGGGGAGGAGCAGGGAACGGGGGACTCCTGCCGGCTGCCCAAACCCGGAGGAGCCGTTGCCGTCCAAGCACGTCGAGCAAACCTCGGCCACATCATTCAGTGAAGGGAAATGACAAGCAGCAGCTTCTAATTCGTTGTTAACATTGAAGTATACGGAGATTGCAAAACCTGCGAAACAACGCAAGTATCAATAACAGTATCGTTTGTCCTGAAGCTTATCGGTATTCCGGTATCGACCCAATTATGTACCGGTCCAAAAAAATACCGGTTCTCAGTAGCCATCCCTATTTGTAACTGTGTTTTGTTGTATTCATCTATGCTTGTAATTTGTGTAATTGTTCTTGTTTTATTACTAACTTTATTAAAGCTAGTAGTTTTGCTGTGGTATAGAAGTACTTAAAGTAAGCTTTCACTAATTTTCTTTTTTTTTGCTGATCCGAAAAATGATCCGATCCGTGACTCAAAATAATATGATCCGAACCTTGAGTTTTGTGATCCATTGCACCACTAGAATTAACCAGAATGTATGTAATTAATGACATATGCGGATGCAGAAGTCTAATATCAACAAAGAGATAGGAAGAGACAAGATATATGAAACCAAATAAATACACGATTATAATCATACATGTTCTTCAAACAGTCTCTGGTATTTTCATAAGAATACGTAGCCTTTAGCATCTCATATAAATCTATAAATAACATATTTCTGCCTCATAGGGTGATAAGAATCCCCATTAGCACGCTTGTGTAACCCCACCGGTTCTATACTCCCCTCGCTCGCTCTGAGTGGAAACCAACATTTCTGGCATGGGAGACGGGCACGCTAACGAGGATGCTAAAGACTGCAGCCTCTGGTGTCAATCACTAGTGCGCCTTTTGAGATCAGGGGAATGAGGTTTACCCACACAGCAATTACCAGCTGGCCTCCGTTACACCCCCCCTTACTAAAGCTTACTCTTATCCAGGTCAAGGGACCGATGTAACCCCTTTGGGTATTACTCCCTGAGCTCCGAGCAGGATTTGAACTGGCGTTACCGGCATTGGAGGCGTTTTCTCATGTTAATTCTGGTCTTTTAACCCCTATCGCGTGTCTCCTCTTTCCTGTTATGGCCATAAATTTTGTGTATGATTGTCACGAAGTGGTGGTTGGCCATTTGGTTCCACAGAATGGTTATGTTTTGGGAACAATGGAGGGTCTTCTTCTTTGATCAATTTTCAGACCCAGACCCAGTTGAGAATGAGCAGATATAAGGGAAGACAGTGGACTCAGACGATCAGGCACCGCTGATTAGTTTTTATGACCTATCACTGACTTAGTGGGGAATCTCCTTGATCTTAAGGAGTGTTCATTTGGTGTTGTGTCAATTTGTTAGACTCTGGTTCATGGTAAATCCTACAGCGTCTTGAGATCAGAGGAGTAAGGTTTTACCCGCACAGCTCTTATTATCTGGCATCCGTTACACTCCCCCACTAAACCTCACTCCCATCCGGGTCACGGCACCAATCTAACCCCTTCGGGTTTTACTCCCCTCACTCACACCAAGCGGGATTTGAACTGGTGTTACCAGCATGGGAGACGGGCATGTTAACAAGGACGCTAAAGACCACAGCATCTAGTATCAGTTGCTAGTGCGCCTTAGCATTAGTCTTACTCCCCTCACTCTTTCTGAGTGGGATTTGAACCAGTGTTTCCAGCGTGGGAGGTGAGTGCACTAACAAGGACTCTTAAGACAGCTTCTAGCATCAGTTGCTAGTGCACCTCGAGGTCAGGGGAGTGAGGTTTTACCCACAGTTCACACCTCCATTACACTCGCTTTTGGCCGACTGTGGAAACGCGGCTAATGTGACCACATGCATCCCTAACCACCCATGAATGTGGTTTGAATTTTGTTTCCTGTTTACACGTATTTTGACAAATAAAGAATGACAGATTCAACATTTAGTATATCAAGGACCTCTGACGCTTTCTGCTGTTAAACTTACTTTAGCTCAATCTCACCTTAATTATCCTTGAACTGATTTTTGACATTGATATTTTAATGTTTATTTTAGATCAGAATGAACAGAAAGAAGATTCTGTCACTTGGCATGAATGTGGGATGCATTTCTTTGAGCAAGAAAGTCTTGAGGAGCACATGAGAATTGACACTGAAGAGAAACCATTCATCTGCCCTCAATGTGGAAAAAGTTTCACAGTGAAACAAAAGCTCGAGGCTCATTTAAGGATTCACACTGGAGAGAAACCATTCACTTGCCCTCAGTGTGGAAAAAGTTTCACACAACAAGGTCAGCTTAATATTCACATGAGAAGTCACAGTGGAGAGAAACCTTTCATCTGTCCTCAGTGTGATAAGAGTTTCACATCGAAACAAAGCCTTAAAATTCACATGAGAATTCACACTGGAGAAAAACCTTTTACCTGCCCTCAGTGTGAAATGAGCTTCACACAGCAAGGATACCTTATACGTCACATAAGAACTCATACTGGTGAGAAACCTTTCACCTGCCCTCAATGTGGAAAGAGTTACAAAGTCAAACAAAGCCTCGAGAGTCACTTGAGAGTTCACACTGGAGAAAAGCCGTTCGTCTGCCCTCAGTGTGGAAAAGGTTTCACAGCAAAACAGTGTCTTAAAAGTCACATGAGCATTCACATTGGAGAGAAACCTTTCACCTGCTCCATCTGTGGGATGAGCTTCACACAACATCAAAGTCTTAAACGTCACATGTGCACTCACACTGGAGAGAAGCCTTTCATTTGCCCTGAATGTGGAAAGAGTTTTGCTGTGAAACAAAGCCTTGAGAGTCACATGAGAATTCACACCGGAGAGAGACCTTTCATCTGCTCTGAATGTGGAAAGAGTTGCACAGTAAAACAAAACCTGGAGAGTCACATGAGAATTCACACTGGAGTGAAGCCTTTCTCCTGCCCTCAGTGTGGAAAGAGATTCACAGTGAAACAAAGCCTCGAGAGCCACATGACCATTCACACTGGAGAGAAGCCTTTCACCTGCTCCGAGTGTGGAAAGAGTTTCACAATGAAGCAAAAGCTTGAGAGACACATGAAAATTCACACTGAAGAGAAGCTTTACATCTGCCCTTTATGTGGGAACAGTTTCACAATGAAAACCAACCTTGAGAGACACATGAAAATTCACACTGAAGAGAAGCCTTTCACCTGCTTTGTGTGTGGAAAGAGTTTTAGAATAAAACAAAACCTTGATAGTCACATGAGAGTTCACACTGGGCTGAAGCCCTTCATCTGCTGTGAATGTGGGAAAAGTTTCACTGTGAAACAAAGCCTTGAGAGTCACATGAAACTTCACAATGAAGCAACGGCGTTCACCTGCTCCGAGTGTGGAAAGAGTTTCACAGTGAAACAAAACCTTGAGAATCACATGAGAATTCACACTGGAGAAAAGCCTTTCGCCTGCCCTCAGTGTGGAAAGAGTTTCACACAACACGTACACCTTAAACGCCACATGAGAATTCATTTTGACAGAGTCGGGGAATCTTCTCTGCTGTCTCCTGTGTACACCATCCATCCAGATGAAGTGATAGCAGTCATAGCGTACCAGGACGCACACCAGCTGTCGGAGGAGAGTGATGTAGTCAATCTGTTTATATGATTATTTGGCCGTGAGTGATAAGAGACCAATGGGACAATTGGTCAGGATGCCACTTTTACACCCCTACCCTTAATGAGTAAGTGTTTCTGTTGTTCATTATAATGGGAAATGCAGTGTTCCCCCTTCATTTTAAATTTACACAATTATTCTACATATTTTGAATGTTTGTAATACCTTGTTTGCTAATAATGATTTATGCAATGTTTTTCTAATCATGTTTAACCTAATGTACAAAGAGTAACATTTAAAGGGATAGTTTACCCCAAAATTAAGATTTGCTGTTAGTTTACTCACCCTCAGGCCATCCCAGATGTAGGTGACTTTTTTCTTCAGTAGAACAGTAAAGGAGATTTTTAGGTGAAACCGTTGTCCTTCGCGATTCATACACTGCACGTCTGTGGCTGCCTAGTCTCATGTGCTCACTCACACGTAAGCTGATGATGATGTTCGTTTACAATGGAGAGTGAGGGCATGTGTGAGAGCTGAGAAGGATGGAGGATGCAGTGGCACAACCATAAGCCTTGGTGGGAATGAGGACTCTCGAAACGTGGTGTTTGTGCAATGACAACAGAGGTCAAATAAATCTATCTGGATCAAAAGGCCAGAAATCTGAGAAAAGTCAATGGGATTGTACCAGCAAATCTTTTTAAATTGGTCACAGCATCCAGGATAAGCACAGGTAAGTACCGTTTTGAAGAACAATAAAACACACGTGCCCTCACTCTCCATTGTAAACAAATAGCATCATCAGCTTACATGTGAGTTTGTGCCTGTGCTTACGTCATTATGCGACAGGAAGTTCACGCTCCAGAGAGTTGTGAATGCACTGAGAACTTTTTGCCAAGGCTGTGGTTAAAAAATTATAATGTTGTAAATAATGTTCATTTTATTGCACAGGCCATAAGACCTCAATGTATCGTCAGGAGCCACGGGTATTGATTTGGTCTTCTCTGTGTATGTTTTTTTAATGCTCGAAAACTGGCAGCCACAAACGTGCAGTGTATATGAATTGCCAAGGACAAACAGTTTCACCAAAAAATCTTCTTGACTGTGCTACTTAGGGGGAAAAAAAAGTTTAAAAAAAATTTATAATCAAGTCAGAACTTTTCATTTTTGGGTGAACTGTCCCTAAAAGTTTCATTGATCTGTGAAAAGCAGAACTGTAACAGATGGAAAGTGCTCATTTTACATTAATTTACCCAACAAACAACTGGTTGTTATTTAAAGTAGGTCTGGGTAAAATGCATTACAAATCATAATCATGTACAACTCAATCCACTACACTACAATGATTCTTCCATCTGTTCTTCTCTGCATGCTTGAGATAAGAAGTCTCTTCATGACCACACACTATTAAGCAGAAAATTCCTATAACCTTTTATTGATATAAGAACATGTATATGCTTCTGTTTAGATACAGTCAGAGCTTTGACCAACACAAGTATCTAAGGTTTTTCAATAAACTGCTCATTTCTTATCACTTCATTTCCCACCTCATGCTCTTCTCCTGCTACAGAAGAGTTAACTTGTCAGACAAAAATCCTCCTGGCAGGGAGGCAATGACAACTTCTAAAATGTCCGGCCCAGTTTTTCCTGACTGAACTGCTGCAAAACAGAAAGTCGATGTTAGTTGTTTATCACTTTCATTCAGAGATTTAAACGAGTCAAAATGTACTTTGGCATTGTTTCATCCTGTTGTGACTGATGTATTGTATATATAAGTGAAAAGGCTTTCTTGAACTAGAAAAAAATGCAGGACTTGATTTTGTCCATGTGAAATTGACTGGAGCATTGTTGTTTGCTATTGCTGTGATCTCATGAGTGACAGGTTGCTGGAGGAGAGGGGTTATTGTACACACATCATAAGAGAAGAGATGTGTTGCAAGGGGTAGGGAAAGTTATTTTGATTAAAAATTAAAAGAGCACATGAATTGTAAATAATAATAATAATTTAGTATAATTATAATAATTAATTTTAAATATTAGAATAAACATTGCATTCTTCAATAATATTGTCCATTTTGATTTAATGGTGACTTTAATATTTAATAATACTGTCATCAAATATTCTATTATATGAGACTTTGCAGTCTCAAGATTGAGACATTATCAAAATATTTTATACTTTTTTTTTTAATAAATTACTTGATTTAAATCAGACTAACAATTTAGCTATTGTTTTTATTCACAAAATGTAAGAAGAAGCAGCTAAACTAAAGGGGTTCTATATAAATTTACTTCAGACGACCGCCTCGCACGCAAAATAACCAAAAAAAAAATTATGGCGAGACTTTAAAAAATGAAACGTTACAAATCTAAAGTCCGATTTAATGGTTTAAAAACAACGATTAGATTTAGATTTTCAAAACCATTAATAAAAATGCATAATGCTTATATTTACATCAAAGTCCTAATTGCAGATGAATTTCAACGTACATTAGCTGTGTTTGTGTGAATGTGTGTGTTGGTGTTGTGTGAGCCCTGTGATGGACAGCCCATATGTCCAGTGTGTTCCCGGGATAGACTCCAGCCCCCCACGATCCTACAGAGGATAAGAGGTTTGGAGAATGGACGGACGGATCATCTGTGTGATTATCCGTTTCGAGGGCTGTTGCTATGTAGTTTGATATATGTCGTCTGCTCAGAATCAAGATGGCCATCGTAGGACTTGCAGGTTGTAACGCGTCAAACTGATCCAGACAAAGCTTTTCTTAGGCAATGTAAATTAGTAATTGATGTAAATTACGACTGTCGATTCCTACACAAATTTTTGTCAGAAAAAAAAAAACATCATTCCATCTTATTTTGTATGCGCACTGAAGAGTCATAGAACATTCCAACAAAAAACATTTGACCTGGTCATATTTTATACCATCATGCCGTTTTTAAATGTTATATTCCAATGTAGCCTATAGATTATTTTAACACCTAACCTGTCTCACAAAAGTTGGTTTGTTCTGGTTTTGTTTTCTTATTAAACACGTGTATGTTGTTGTTTTCTTTTATTGTATTGAATATTTAATTAAAACATGTTGTCATCAACTCTCTTTCCAGTTTTATTTTCACCCTGACACTATAAAATATCCCTATTAGCAGTGTTTACTGGAATGTTTCTAAAGCAGGGACATACTGTACAATATGTCAAAATAATGGAAAGCGCTTAATATTCATCAAAACAAAACATTTTGTTTAATGCAACATAGGTTATACAATATATTCTTAGATAGGCTGTATTATTACATTAATATTTAACATGTCCATAATGTTGCTTTAAAAATTTATTGTTAATAATTTTCTTATAGGATGCCCAATGGTTGACGGGTGGGAGAATGTCATCTGTGCCCAGTTTTTGCAAATGCTTATTATTGAATTCATAGATCCAGCCTAAAACAACTTTATTGCCAGTCGCCAACTGTGAGCTTTTCCCTGGTTCTGGGGCCTCTGCTCCTCGGCATGTCTGTGCATGGCCCTGCACAAGATAACAAGCTTGACTGATTAGAGACCATGCACAGGTTTTCTGCAATGGGGTTTCCACAAACCAGCTGCATGACTCAGATTCTTTTGAGGGCCTAAAATACTACACTAATCCCTACTTTGTGGAATGTAAGAATCACAGAAACAACAGATGTGCAGACGAAAACCTGCCAGTCCTCACCTAGACAAGAGCAGGAGAATAAAAGTCAGAGTAAGTTTGTTGTTTGTCACTACAGTCAAGTTAGCAGATTGTTAGTTGTTGATTGCGACTTATTAAAAACATGTGCCGCATCAAATCAAATCATACCCAGCTTCCCAATGTGCATACTATCAACCCTATCTGCCCTAAATAGTATTGAAAATTACTAATATCACATAGAATTTAGGATGGATAGTATGCACATTGGGACGCAGGCATAGTTGGGAATTTGTCAGACCAACTATATTTTAAAATTAGACCACCATAATGTAAAGTATAGAAACAAACTGCCGTATAATTTTTTATTACATTAAAGGTGACATATCATGAAAATCTGACTTTTCCAGGTTTTAAATGCTATAATCAGGTCCCCGGTGCATCTACCAACCAAGGAAACGTGAAAAAGATTAACCCAGTAACTTTGTTTTGGGAAGCCTTTTTCTGCAAGCGTCTGAGAAAACCAGCGCGTCTGATTTTATAATATTACCGCCCCTTAATATGTAAGTTTACACCCACAGCGCCGTTATTGTGTTTTCGCACTGTCCGTGTGCTTCCGATGAGTGCTCTCAGAAAACCGTATATCAGAAGTTTAAACTCATATGGTTTAAAACGCATGATTTCAGCGCGATAAACATCATAATCAGAACCAAAACAGATGTTTTTAGCAGGTACCAGCTGTAATGGCCCAGCTCTATTCTGGAAAAGGGGGCTGGGAGCAATAGCTCATTTGCATTTAAAGAGACAGGCCCGAAAAATAGCATGTTTCTGCTTCCACTCAAAATATATATTTTCAAAATGATACAATAAATTATCTGTGGAGTATTTTGAGCTGAAACTTCACAGACACATTCTGGGGACACCAGAGACTTATATTACATATTGTAAAAAGGGGCATAATATGTCTCCTTTAAACTATTTGTGTTGAGAGAATTGTATGATGTCTTTGTGTGTGTTGTGTTGAGTGAAAGCATAATATATAATAATATAATATATGCAGAATCAATATTTTACCTGAGAGCGTGGTTTGTGATGTGTCCACTCCACACAAGCGTGAATGTGTGACCTGCGAAAAGTAAGGTCATCACGGCACTTACACCGGTAAATGGTTATGCTCTTATTTGTGACCTATTACATCCTCCAAATAAATCTTTTTTTTTTCACGTGTCAGCCCCATTTAGCTATTATTTTAAATTTGAGCTGTAAGTACCAATTTAGCAAATCCTGTTAGTTTAGTTCAGTTCTCTTTATGATATATTTTATGATGCATCGGCATGTTATAGATCTAGAAATACTTTGAAAAGGGTGGAACCAAAGCGTGTGTAAACATTTGCTAAATGTCAGAAATAGGAATGTGGTAAGTTCAGAAGTAGTCACATTAAAAAGAAATAACTTGCATTATAAGCTCAGGTACAATATTTTACATTTACATTTAGTCATTTAGCAGACGCTTTTATCCAAAGTGACTTACAACTGAGGACAATAGAAGCAATCAAAACCAACAAAAGAGCAATAATAAGCAAGTGCTATGACAAGTCTCGGTTAGCCTAATGCAGTACACGTAGCAAGGGTTTGTTGAGATAGTGAATTGGTGGGTTTTTGTTAAATGTGAGTCAAAATCATCATAATTAAAAGAACCAAAGACTTAAAAAACTTCAGTCTGTGTGCATTGAATTTATTTAATGCACGAGTTTCACAATTTGAGTTGAATTACTGAAATAAATGAACTTTTCCACGACATTCTAATTGATTGAGATATATATATATATATATATATACACATACACACACACACACACACACACACACACATATACATACAATAAAAAGAAAACAAGTGGATAGAATGCAGAAAGCTAGTGTTAGAGGCTCTTTTTTGTTAAAGAAACAAGCAGTTAGAAAATGAATATAGAGTGCAAGTATTAGAGGGTCAAGTGTTTTTTTTATATAAAACAAATAAAAAACAAATAGATAAAATAGAATTAGAAAAGAGATAGAGTTAGTGTTGAGTTAGTCAATATTTTAAACTTGCATGTGAAAGGGTTAACATGAACGCAAGTCATAAACCAATGCTGAATTTTACTTAATTGTTTACTGTCTTGCAAATTCTTTGTAACTTATACTGTCACTTCAGGAGACAATAACATGGGAATGCCAGATTTAGCCTTTAATATGTCAAAAATATAACAATGTCCTCTGTTGCATTAGACTGGGTTGCACATGTGTTACTTTGGCTATCTCACTATTATTGTCCTTATGTTCATTTTAGATCAAAAGAAACTGAAAGAAGATTCTGTCACTTGCCATCAATGTGGGATGTGTTTCGTTTATCAAGCAAGCCGTTCATCTGCCAATTACCAGAGTACAGTTTCCGTTAAAACCAACACAAGTCCCATTATAATCCTGTGATGGTGTCTATTGTTTTTTCAGCAGGGTAAGCAGTGTCCCTGAACAAATACCTCATTGTCGAACTGTAAAGAAGCAAATAGAAAACTCAATATTCACTAAAGATTTTCACACAGCCATCAAAACCAAACAATCCAGTCACAAACACAAACAGGAGATCATTAGTGATTCGTATGTCATGTAAAAGGCTGCTAATAACACCTCTTAAACCAATTACTGTCAAATGTTTTCATTAACGTGTAATCTGTTATGTGTAATCTACAAACTAATAAGTACCATTAATTATGAAGTTTCTCAATTTTTCATTATGCATGCGCGTTTGTCATTAAACTGAACATGCATTATAAAGCTGCCTCTAGCGGCGAACCATCGAGATTTCAAAACGTTTCGAACCAGCGATGAAGACTCGTTTGCTGAAACCACGTGACTTGGTCAGTTTGATTCGTGATCTGAACCACTGATTCAAAGCAAAAGATTCGGAAACGTTTCGAAGCTTCATGGAGATCAGAACTACATAAACGCTAGGCTTGTTTTAAACCAAATACAGTACTGTGCGCTTATATAATGTCTGCTACAAAATAGACAGAATCAAACGCGACTGATTGAGCAATCTATGGAATAAACGGGATCGAACATTTCCTGGTGATAAAGATGGAGAGTCGTGAAAACAATCAGACCGCAGAAACACCAGATGTGCAGACGAAAACCTGCCAGTCCTCACCTATGCAAGAGCAGAAGAATAAAACCGATGGTAAGGTAATTATGTGTCACTTACAAAGAATCTGTTAATTGGTGTTACTAATGAAAAACCACGTGCACCAAATGATTATGCATACGGGAAGATTTGGTTACTCCAGGTATACAAATAAGGTATTTGTCAGAACAACTATATTTTAAAGTTAGTTGATTAAAATTTAAACCTGAGAATCCAAGTGCTTTAGAAAAAGCGTTTTTCTTTTTCTTTTTGGATATTTTCTAGACGATTTGATCTGTGTGATCGTTGGTTCTTGTTGATAAAATGTACAAAATAAAGGCCAAAAACAGAACATCCTTTTACCAGTTATGCAATAAAGGTGCATCCCTACATTTCTGAATGTATAATTATCCTGTTTATTATACGACTTTGGCTACTCAACAAATAAATGCATAGGAGGACATCAAAAACTTTACTGAAATTTATTTTGTGATCTTACCTGTATATTATTTAAAACTCGCACAAGAATGTTTTGTATTATGTTGTACAAAACAATTAGCCTAGCAACCAGATAAACACTGCAAAAATATTACATTAATATTGTTCCTTAAGTTCTCAATTTCACTGCAATCAAAAACTGAGAACTCTATTTACATAACAGGGATGGGTGATATGGGCTTAAAAATATATCACGATGATTTCTGGTATTTATTGCGATAACGATATCAATGATGATAACTCAGGGAATCTTATGCATCCACCAAGAGACAAAAAAAATCCTGTTTCTTTAGAGAAAAGTATTGTCTTTCCTATGTTTACCCTGGTGTTGGTGAGGAGTACACAAGTAATGTAATGACTATATACTGGAAGCCGGAGGATGCCCTTGTGCAGAAACTCCACATATGCATTGCAGAAGTAATTGCACTGAGGACGCTCCAGGAAATCCCTAATATGGACGAAGGTGTCCACTTATAGCTGTAGCTGAATAAAATGCAGATATAGAGAAATTTTAACTGAGGAAATATGAAGACAATAAACATTGCGACAGTATATGGTTTATCTGTGTTCTTTAAGCAATCTTGGCTATTTTTTTAAGAATAAAGTATATTTATAATGCAATGCTAATCGACATAGCCTTTATCACTGTATTAAATACTATAAAATAGTATTATTTCTGCTTCATTCTGTGATATGAAACCATGTCTGATCACAAAGTTATTTCAAACGCTTGACTGATGTTATGAATTAAATTTGGACAAAGAGCATGTCAGTGGACCCTTTTCAATAGAGTGTGATGGTGCATTTAATGGTCATCAGCATTGTAAATCCTTTCAAAGTTTTTTATATATTTTTTTTTTTTAATATTGTGTTAGTTTAGCAATGGAACTTTTTCATGGACTGTGATGACGCGTTTCCACAGTTATTTACATCATAAATTAAGTTTTTTTTTTGTTTTGTTTTTTTTGTTTGTTGCCATTTTTGTGTTTTATTAGGATAGGACAGTAAACATTGACAGGAAATGAAGTGGGAGAGAGAGGGGGGATAGGAATGGGAAAGGACCGCGAGCCGGGACTAGGAGCCTGGGATGAACTGGGTTCGCCAAAGTTTTTTTTTTTATAAAATTGTACAAATATTTATAATTTTAATAATGTACTGGTTATAAATGTACATTTTCATTTTTAAAATGTACATTTATAACACTATAATTTGTATTATATCACCTTTGCATCAAATTACAAAAAAAGTAGTTAACGCTAATGCGAGGGTGTTTCTAATGCAGCGTCTATGGGAGGGACGGTACATTTGACATCGTTCTCTCTTCTGACTGCCGTTATCAGTCTCTCTCAATTTTTTTACTTTTATTGAAAGTCATGAAAATACTATCATGGAGTTTTTCTTTTGATATTTGAGCAAATGAGAATGCAAAAAATATTTTTGTGGTACTCTCCCATTCACTGCTCTTCAAGTTGACGACTTCCGCTGCTGAGAAACCCGGAAATGTGAAAAAGGTCCATAAATGGTATCTTTGTTGGATAACAGGTTTGTAAACAGGCTCATGCACATGCAAAACTGTATCGCACAAACTGTATTTATTCGAGGCTCAGACCAATTTTTTGTCACACTGTAAGTTACAGCCCTGACCAAACCAGTTCCTGACTGTAGAAGGAGCTCCTCGTTTAGCAATATATTCCTATTCCATATTCCATATTCCGCCATGTCGCTCTGCACAGTCGCACACAGAACTAGACTTTATCGTTATTATCGCGGATAAGACTAATTCTTATCGTGGGGAGAATTTTTACCGGTATATCGCAAATGATAAGATATCGCCCATCCCTAATACATAGATGAATTTTCTTAGGGCACCAACTATTAAAACCATTTGCTTGGTTACTTTCAGTCATGGACAACAATAAATTTAAAAATCTGGCTGCTTGATTTATACATCAAATTGCAGTTTAGGAAAAACATGTCAGTGCCTAAACAATGACCTCCATTGCATTCTGCTATTAAATTGGGTTGCAAATCTATACCTTTGGCTCAAAATACCACCTTTGTTGTCTTTGAATTGATGTTTGACATTGATCTTTTAATGTTTATTTTAGATCAGATTGAACTGAAAGAAGATTTTTTCACTTGCCATGAATGTGGGATGGATTTCTTTGAGCAAGCAAGTCTTGAGCAGCACATGAGAATTCACACAGAAGAGAAACCGTTCATCTGCCCTCAGTGTGGAAAGAGTTTCACAGTGCAACACAGGCTTGAGGCTCATTTAAGAATTCACACTGGAGAGAAACCATTCAGTTGCTCAGAGTGTGGAAAGTGTTTCACACAACAAGGTCAGATTAAAAGTCACATGAGAAGTCACACTGGAGAGAAACCTTTCACTTGCCCTCAATGTCAAACTAGTTTCACATCGAAACAAAGCCTTAAAAGTCACATTAGAATTCACACTGGAGAGAAACCTTTCACCTGCTCTGAGTGTGGAAAGAGCTTCATAACACAAGGATACCTTAAACGTCACATAAGAACTCATACTGGTGAGAAGCCTTTCACTTGTCGTCAATGTGGAAAGAGTTACAAAGTGCAAGAAAGCCTTGAGAGTCACGTAAGAGTTCACACCGGAGAGAGGCCATTCGTCTGCCCTCAGTGTGGAAAGGGTTTCACAGCAAAACAGTGTCTTAAAAGTCACATGAGCATTCACATTGGAGAGAAACCTTTCACCTGCTCCATCTGTGGGATGAGCTTCACACAACATCAAAGTCTTAAACGTCACATGTGCACTCACACTGGAGAGAAGCCTTTCATTTGCCCTGAATGTGGAAAGAGTTACACAATAAAACAACGCCTTGACATTCACATGAGAATTCACTCGGGAGAGAGACCCTTTTCCTGCTCTCAGTGTAGAAAGAATTTCACAGTAAAACTTAACCTTGATAGACATATGAGAATTCACACTGGAGTGAAGCCTTTCTCCTGCTCTCAGTGTGGAAAGAGATTCACAGTGAAACAAAGCCTCGAGAGTCACATGACCATTCACACTGGAAAGAAGCCTTTCACCTGCTCCGAGTGTGGAAAGGGTTTCACGAGTAAACCTAAGCTTAGTTATCACATGAGAAATCACTCAGGAGAGAGGCCTTTTATATGTTCTAAGTGTGCAAAAAGTTTCACAGTGAAACAAAACCTTGATATTCACATGAGAATTCACTCTGGAGAGAAACCCTTTTCCTGCTCTCAGTGTGGAAAAAGTTTCACAATGAAACAAAACCTTGACATTCACATGAGAAGTCACACTGATGAGAAGCCTTTCACCTGCTCTCAATGTGGAAAGAGTTACAAAGTGCAGCAAAGCCTTGAGAGTCACTTGAGAGTTCACACTGGAGAGAACCCTTTCACTTGCTCCGAGTGTGGAAAGAGTTTCACAGTGAAACAAAGCCTTATGAATCACATGAGAGTTCACACTGGAGAGAAACCTTTCACTTGCTCCGAGTGTGGAAAGAGTTTCACAGTGAAACAAAGCCTTATGAATCACATGAGAGTTCACACTGGAGAGAAACCTTTCACTTGCTCCGAGTGTGGAAAGAGTTTCACAGTGAAACAAAGCCTTATGAATCACATGAGAGTTCACACTGGAGAGAAACCTTTCACTTGCTCCGAGTGTGGAAAGAGTTTCACAGTGAAACAAAGCCTTATGAATCACATGAGAATTCACACTGGAGAGAGGCCTTTCACCTGCCCTCAGTGTCCGAAGAGCTTCATACAACATAAACATCTTAAACGTCACATAAAAACTCACACTGGAGAGAAGCTTATTGATAGAGTGGGGGAAATCTCTGCTGTCACCTGTGTGCAGCATCAATCCAAATGAAGTGATGGCAGTCATAGCGTACTAGTACATCCGCCAGCTATCAGAGGAGAGTGATGTAGTCAGTTTGTTTGATTAGGAGACCAGGACCAGTGTTGGGCAAGTTACTCTGAAAATGTAATCAAATTACTGATTACTCCTTTTAAAAGTAATCACTTTACTGTTCTGATTACTTTATTTCAAAAGTAATTAGTAATTAGTTACATTACTAGTTACGTTACTTTTTTCTCCATGAAATTTATTAAATCCCAGCATACACTCTCCCGATAAATATTTGTTATTAAAGCATCAACATTCAAAGAACACTGTTATTTTTAACTAGGGCTGCACGATAAATCGCATGCGATATTTAACGTGCATCTTGTCAATAAAGCCGTTCTGTAATCAGCGGTAAATCTCCATTACGTGCGGGCTTTCACATTGAGCAGCATTAACTACACAGTTAGTTCACTGTTGTTCACTGACGAGCTGCGCAAAACATGCTCGTCAGTGAACAACGGCTCTGTGTAGTAAATGCTGCTCCATGTGAAAGCCCGCACGTGATGGAGATTTACCGCTGATTACAGAACCGGCT